TGAAAAACGAATGCTTTGGATAAATTCAGGTGGAAAAACTGGTTGGTTGGGTAAAAAAAAGTATGGAGGACATGCTTACGTAAGCAAGAAAGAAAGAAAAAGAAAGAAAGAAAAAGAAAGAAAAAACAAAGAAAGGATAATGAAAGAGAATAATAGAAACATTAAATAGAAAAAAAAAAAGAAAGAAAGAAATAAAGAAAGAATAAAAACAAAAGAAGGACTGCGTTGATTGATTTATTCGCTTTTTTATGACTTATCAACCCTTTGCAGGTTATTTAAAACCAGTATATATTTTTTGCTCGTAAGATCTTTTTAACATAAAAATGGTTTAGTAATACAAGTCTTCTTAATTAACCCATAGCTGCGAGAGAAGTGAGAAAAAGTAGGAACGAAAAAAGAAGAGAAAATCAGTGAGAATAATGAAGAAAAAAAAGAAAGAAAAAATGAAGAATTTAAAGGAAAGAACGAATGATATGTAGTAAGAGGAAAAATAGAAAAAGAAGGAAAGGTAGAACGTAGGAAAATATGATGGGAAACAACAGAAAATGGAAGAAAAAATAAAAGAAAGAAAGGAAAATGACTGGAAAGAAAGAGAAAAAGAAAGAGAAAGAAAAAACGGGTAGAAAGGAAGAAAAGACGACTGAAAAGAATAGAAAAAGAAAGAGAAAGAAAGAACGGGTAAAAAGGAAGAAAAGACGACTGAAAAGAATAGAAAAAGAAAGAGAAAGAAAGAACGGGTAGAAAAGAAGAAAAGACGACTGAAAAGAATAGAAAAAGAAAGAGAAAGAAAGAACGGGTAGAAAGGAAGAAAAGACGACTGAAAAGAATAGAAAAAGAAAGAGAAAGAAAGAACGGGTAGAAAGGAAGAAAAGACGACTGAAAAGAATAGAAAAAGAAAAAGAAAGAAAGAACGGGTAGAAAGGAAGAAAAGACGACTGAAAAGAATAGAAAAAGGAAGTGAAAGAAAGAATTGTTAGAAAGGAAGAAACGACGACTGAAAAGAAAGAGAAAGAAAGAATGGGTAGAAAAGAAGAAAAGACGACTGAAAAGAACAGAAAAAGAAAGAGAAAGAAAGAATGGTTAGAAAGGAAGAAAAGATGACTGAAAGGAATAGAAAAAGAAAGAAGAAAAAGATAAAAGAGAAGAAAGGTAGATTGTAAAGAAAGAAGAAAACAAGGGCAAGAAAGAAAATAGAATAAAAAATAATTGGTAAAAACACATGCAGTAAAAAGAAAAAAAATTAACAGAAAACGAGATGCAACGAAGAGAGGAAAGAACCCTAAAGAGGAAAAGAAGAAAGAAAGAAAAAAAAAGAAAGGATGAATGGTATAAACTAATAAGCAAGAAACAGAAAGAAAGCAAAAGAAAAAAAAAAAGAAATTAATAATGAGAAAGTAAACAAAGAAATATTTTTTTAGCGGATAATCGATAAAAAAAAAATGGCGGAATACGAATAAGATAATGAAGTCCAAACTATCGTATGTTTACGTTCATTATCTCCTTTACTAAATTTCTTACAACTGATCCATATACCGAAGTATTTGAAGTGTTTAGTATTTACTAATTCCACGCGCCGATTTTGTAGACAATATAATTGGAGCTGCTAATAAGAATCGAACCCGACTGTTGAATGGGCAGCGAATCGATTTGATTCGAATCATCAGCTCCAGGGTGGGCGCCCCGAAACAACATTCATTGTTGTATTAGCCAAAAAATAATGATAAATGAATGAAATAAAAAAAAATATATATATAAAAAAGCGACAGAAAAATGGAAAGAAGGTTGTATGTAAAACAAATATCCATAGCAGGCAGATTGGTTGGTTGGTCGGTAGGGATGAATGTAGGTAGGTAAAAATAAATATTTATGTAGATGTGCAAGAATATCAAGTGCTGTGGTTGGCACGGATTCTGGATATCGGGCAGGTGTTTTGGCAATTGTATGGTCATCAACTTGACTAAGACATTAACCTCACTTGCATACAGGCAGTTAAATATTTATATCCTTACCTACTTAAAAACATTTCATTAGCAAAGTTCTTTGACTTTGCCTCATTCAGTTTCACCGAAAATTGCTATAAAACCTGAAAGTACAACAATTTAAACTTTGTGGGAAGTGTTTAAGCAGATGATGAAAAGTGCAACACTGAAATCCGAAGATAACGAAAGATGCCTTCCAAAAGTTAAGCAAAGTATTAAGAAACAGAAAAATTTCGCTGGCAAAAATAGAAAAAAAAAACAAAAAAAAAAAAACGAAAAGAGTACTGAACTGTTATGTAATATCGGCCATTCTATATGACAGTGAATGCTGGACAATCTCCTCACAGAGGAAGAAGAGACGAAACAACAGAAATTTGGTTCAACAGAAGGATGCTGAGAATACCATGTAAGCAACGACGATATTTGAGAGAAAATGGAAACAAAAAGGACATTTATAATTCACATCAAAAAAAGAAAATTTAAATTTCTAGAGCACGTATTGAAAAAAGATAGCTTGACAAATTTGATATTCACAGGACAGGTTGAACGCAAGATAGAAGAAAACAACGCATACCCTTTTTTTTTACAGCGAGGTTCACCCTTTACAAGGCCCTTGGGCCACTCGAGGTAGAGGGTTACGTTTGGAGGCCGTTTGTGTGGAAGACAACGGTTTACCCCAGCCTTGAATAGATTAAGATTGTAGTGATCGGGGAAACATCCTGTTGGGAGTCGGTTCACGCCCAAATATGGCAACAGTGCTATATTTTTTAGTTTGATTTGGTGCTTGTAAAGGTAAAGGATAGCAGGAGAGGTTAAGTAATTACTGAGGTGGTACAGGAAACCAAACATGTTACCTGCATCTTTCGCAGTGGATTCTATGTACGAGTTCCACTTGATGTCGGGTGTGTGTTTGGGATCCAACAGTCTTTCAAGTCATGGTGCTTCCTGGAGAGGACCTTCGTTCATCTTGATTTGTGGTAGTACGCGATCGGCGATGATGGAATGTATCGCGCTTGGTCTTCGAGGCATTGAAGGTAACCAATCCAATTCCCACCTGCTTAGGAAGTTTGTATGTGATCGGAGTGGTAGATATTGGTTAACCCTGGCCTTGAACAGGTTAAGATTGTAGTGATCGGAGAAACATTCTGTGGGGTTACCGTTTCCCCCTGGGCAATGGTTTGCGTGAAGCTTCTCACCGATGGAATATGAAGGAATGTCTGTGGTTTGTTATTATGTAAGGGTCATGTCGTGTTCTTGTCGTTATGGCTTTCGTCGGCGGGACCCTGGATTATAGTTCGTCCCAGCACTTTCCGTGTAAATAGCAGTAGTGCAGTGAGAGACTTGCCACATCCCGTATGTGGGAGAGAGGTTGAAGTGTAGAGAACAATTCGTCACCTCCAAGGGTTCAGATATGCTTTTGAATTCTAACAAGGCTGGAGAGTGAGATCTGGGTAGCACTCGCCCAAATATAGCAAGAGTACTCCATTGTTGACCTGATGTTTCTCTTTTGAATAGCAAAAAGGATAGCGGGAGGAGTCAGGTACTTACTGGTGCGGTACAGAGAGCCGGCCATTTTACCTGCATCTTTAGCATTGGATTCTGTGTACGAGTTCCACTTGAGGTCGGGTGTGTGTTTGGGATCCAACACTCTTTCAAGTCATGGTGCTTCCTGGAGAGGACCTTCGTTCATCTTGATTGGTGGTAGTTCGGGATCAGATCGGTGATGATGGAATGTATCACGCTTGGTCTTCGAGACATTGAAGGTAACCAGCCAGGCCATTGGGTAGTTTGTGCAAGATTGGAACCAATCTTTGACCATCGAGAGTTTCAGAGGTGTACCGGTATAGTGATTTTCCAAGCGTAGCTTAGATGTGGCACAAGGCCGAAAGTATGGGGCACCCAGTGAGGATCGAACTCACTATTCAGTCGTAATTGTTCTAGCGAGACAAGCTTGCTAACCATTACACCGCCTCGAAGTTCCAAAAGTTGATTTTCCAAGCTTAGCAGAAGGCTAAACGTATGGGGCACCCAGTGAGGATCGAACTCACTACTCAGTCATAATTGTTCTAGCGAGACAAGCTTGCTAACGATTACATCGCCTCGAGGTGTCCAAAGATGATTTTCCAAGCGTAGCTTAGATGTGGCACAAGGCCGAAAGTAGGGAGCACCCATTGAGGTTCGAACTCACTACTCTGTCGTAATTGTTCTAGCGAGACAAGCTTGCTAACCACTACACCGCCTCGAGGTACCCAAAGGTGTACCCGTATATAGTCGACATAGATGTTTACAAATGATCTGAGTATATTTTAGGCAGTTCGTTTATGTAGATCAAAAATTATAATTTCTTTGTTTATCAACTTTTGACTAGGTACGAAACTAATTCGTCTTGCACCCCCCACCAAGCAATGTGTTAATTAGACTTGTTTCACTAAATTATTACCATCCTCAAAAATAAAAAAAACAAAACATTTAACCTCAGCCCGATAAACTTCAATAGCACTGGCTGCTCGGTCAATGAATATGGAATGTTTCCTTTTAAGGAAATAGCTAATATTATCCTGATAGTTGTTTCGCTTTCATTCGGAGAAGTTTAGTCTTTTTTAAAAATTCTCAAGCGTCAGTTAACCAGCGAGGACCAATCTCATTACAATATTAATTGTCTGCATGACTATTTCGCTACCAATTGCTTTGATGACTACGTTCTCTTGATACTTATTCGCTTGTGTCGTCACATTCTAGGACGGGCGACCATGGCTCTTCACAACTTCCTATCCTTAGGTTACGCTAGGAAATGTCCACCCCGGATACTCGTCTGTCATCCATTTACACAATCTCAATTGGGTAGGTGACTGAATAATTCCCTATGCCCCTCTTACCTTCAATACACCCTGGACTTACGGCTATGCAGCGTTGAAACATCGGTTTACCGAAGTTAAGCAACGTCGATCCTGGCCTATACCTAGATGGGTGACCGCTTGTGGATACCAGGGTCTGTAAGCTTGCATGTGCGCTTGGTCAGGCTTGCAGTCATATCGCGTTGAAACACCTATTCTCGTACGATCACCAAAGTTAAGCCACGTCGAGCCTGGTCAGTATCTAGATGGGTGACTACTTGAGGATACCAGGGCCTATAAGCTTGCGTGTGGTGCGGTGTGGTGTGACTGAAGGTCATATCGCGTTGAAACAGCCGAATATAAAACAAAGCGAGCAGGGCAGCATGAACCACAGACATCTTCTTGAATAAATCTCCACTTTTTAAAAATGACTTAATTACTAATATATTTTAAAATGTTTTATTATGAGTTATTTTACAAGTGTATTTGAACGTTTCATTGAATTTAGTTGCTAAATTCAAGTTTATTTTCAATAAAATAGTTTTTCTTCAAAATAAGACATACATTTACTATTTCTATAATACAATCCTTAAACTTATCTATTAGTAAAAAATAAAATAAGTTATTTTTTTAATCGAATTGTTATGTGGGTCCACTAAAAACTTAAGAGTAAAAGTGGTCCATGGGTCAAAAAAAAAAAAAAATGCTGAGAACCTCTTGGTTAAACCAATACAACGATACAAAAGTAGAAAATGTGGGGTGGGGATTTTAATCCTTGTGCGTCGTAACAGAGATACAGATTCGAAAGGAATCTGGAAGATTGTGGAGAAAATATAAAATAGGAAAATGTTTATATGAAAACTAAGGTTGCCGAAAATTTAAGCAGTAAATAATTTTAATTCGTTTGCTTACAAATGATTTTTGCATGTGCTCACGTGTGGATTTGGTAAAACTAAAATAAACCTGTTTATTTACATCGAAGGTGACACCGATATCAAGAAAGTAGTTTGTATCCGGTTTTGATTATTTTCTAAGCGTAGCTTAGATATGGCACAAGGCCGAAAGTATGGGGCGCCTAGTGAGAATCGAACTCATTTTTAAGTCGTAACTGATCTAACGTACTGAACTGTTATGTAATAGACAGATAGTGTTTTCGCTATAGTTGTACAGGATGAAATACAAAATTATTGGTCAACATGACAATAACTAAGAAGAGACTAGATGCTTACTGAAAGTAAGGGTGTAATTCGAGCAGAGACATTGAAATCAGGCATGACTGATCATATATGCACTATTTACATTATTTGGACTATTGTCCTCATCTTTGTCGCCATGTTTATTACAACCTTTCGGCCCTTCAGTATCTGTCTATATTTCTGAGATGAGGTATTATGTACACTATTTACATTATTCGGACTATTGTCCTCATCTTTTTCGCCATGTTTATTACAACGTTTCGGCCCTTCTGTATCTGTCTATATTTCTGAAATGAGGTATTATGTACACTATTTACATTATTCGGACTATTTTCCTCATCTTTGTCGCCATATTTATTACAACGTTCTTCCACGCTCCGACCTTCTTCAGGTGGTTGAAATGTCAAACTGAACCTTTTTATTTTGCTCGCTGTTGTAGACTATTCTAGTTCCACGTGCCACTAGTCTACCCCAGTGAGCGAAATAAAGGGTTCAGTTCGAAATTCCAACCACCTGAAGAAAATGAGGAACAACACACGTTGTAATAAATGGCGACAAACTGAGGCTAATAGTCCTGAATAATGTAACAGAGCAACTCATCTCAGAAATATAGACAGATACTGAAGGGCCGAAAATAAATATGGCGACAAAGATGAGGATAGTCCGAATCATGTAAATAGAGTACATAATAATTTCATCTCAGAAATATCGACAGATACTGAAAGGCCGAAATGTTGTGATAAATATGGCGACAAAGATGAGGATAATAGTCCGAATCATGTAAATAGAGTACATAATACCTCATCTCAGAAATATAGACAGATACTGATCCTATATGATTTTGAAATGGGTAGCTATCTATTCCTGTGAAATAAAGTGAATCTAATAGGCGTTTCTCCTCCTCTATGGCAGTGAATGCTAAAAAATCTCTCCAGACATGAAGAAGAGACTTGAGGCTGCAGAAGTGTGGTTCTACAGAAGGATGTTGAGCATAGCACAGACTGAATATGTGTGTAACAAGAAAATTTTAGGGAAAATGGAGGTAAAATGGTACTTATACTTAGAATCAGAAAGAGAAAATTGAAATTTGTAGGGAACACAATGAGGAAAGAAGGCATGGAGAATTTAAAATTCACAGGGCTTGTTGAAAATAAGAGATGCCCCATCAGCGAACAACGAGCTTGTGTAAATCGTGGCTGGTCAGGATTTAATAAACATAGCAAAAAGATAAACCCTTATTAAGAGCAACAAAAAAGAGATGATCGCACACGGCCAGAGGGGACACACCACATACAAGAAGCAGAAGAAGAAGAAAGGACAGAAGAAGAAGAAGAAGAAGAAGAAGAAGAAGAAGAAGAAAGGACAGAAGAAATGAAGAAGAAGAAGATGAAGAAGAAGGAGAAGAATAAGAAACGACAGATGAAAAAGAAGAAAGAAGGACAGAAGAAGAAGAAAGAACATGAGAAGAAGAAGGAGAATAGAAAGAAGAGGAAGAAGAAATGACAGAAGAAGAAGAAGAAAAAGGACAGAAGAAGAAAAAGAAGAAGAAGAAGAAAAAGAAGAAAGGACAGAAGAAGAAAAAGAAGAAGATGAAGAAACGACAGATGAAGAAGAAGAAGAGGAAGAAGAAGAAGAAGAAGATGGAAGGACAGAAGAAGAAGAAGAAGAAGAAGAAGAAAAAGAAGAAGAAAAAGAAGAAGAAGAAGAAGAAGAAGAAGAAAGAACAGAAGAAGAAGTAGAAGAGAAAGAAGAGGAAGAAGAAAGGACAGAAGAAGAAGTAGAAGAGAAAGAAGAGGAAGAAGAAAGGACAGAAGAAGAAAAAGAAAGAACAGCAGCAGCAGAAGAAAAAACAGAAGAAGAAGAAGAAGAGAATGAAGAAGAAGAAGAAGAAGAAGAGAATGAAGAAGAAGAAGAAGAGAATGAAGAAGAAGTAAGGACAGAAGAAGAAGAAGAAGAAGAGAATGAAGAAGAAGAAGAGAATGAAGAAGAAGAAGAAGAGAATGAAGAAGAAGAAGAAGAAGAAGAAGAGAATGAAGAAGAAGAAGAAGAGAATGAAGAAGAAGAAGAAGAAGAAGAAGAGAATGAAGAAGAAGAAAGGACAGAAGAAGAAGAAGAAGAAGAGAATGAAGAAGAAGTAAGGACAGAAGAAGAAGAAGAAGAAGAGAATGAAGAAGAAGAAGAAGAAGAGAATGAAGAAGAAGAAGAAGAAGAAGAGAATGAAGAAGAAGAAAGGACAGAAGAAGAAGGCTAACAACTGACTGTTTGGCGGATTTTTTACATTGACATATAAATCGGATTTGTGGATGGCATAATGTCCCGAAGGGCATATTTTTATCAAGTTTTCTTGAGTGATAAGGCCGTTAGATGAAATAAATATTGTTTAAAATAAACGGAACGTCTACTCAAATACAAGTATCCACTAAAAATGACGCTTGAAGTAAAAAGATACCTTATGATGTTTATGTCTCCCTTGTGAGAAGCGTTTATTAGCTTCAGTTTATTTTGCAGGAAGAGATAACTACTCTTTTCAAAGCCATATATGATCAGCCATGCCTGATTTCAATGTTTCTGCTCGAATTACACCCTTACTTTCAGTAAGTATTTAGTCTCTTCTTAGTTGTGGTCATGTTGACCAATAATTTTGTATTTTATTCTATACAACTATAACAAAATACTATCTATCTATCTATCTATCTATCTATCTATCTATCTATCTATCTATCTATCTATCTATCACAGTCTGTTCATATTTATCAATGTGTCTATCGCAGTCTGTTCATATCTATCTCAATAAGTTCATATCTATCTATCTATCTATCTATCTATCTATCTATCTATCTATCTATCTATCCCATTCTGTTTCTATCTATCTATCTATCTATCTATCTATCTATCTATTCTATCTATCTATCTATCTATCTGCGCACATAGATCCCCACATAAAGTGTGTGTTCAAAACTTCTTGGTCCATCCGAGTAGTTTTGAACATACGCTTCTTTCATCTCAAATTATGTTTGATCATATGACCAGAGAACATTTCAGCCTTGTCTCTCTCTCTCTCTCTCTCTCTCTCTCTCTCTCTCATACACACACACACACAGGCACACACACACATAAGTATATATATGTGTGTGCGTGTGTGTGTGTGTGTGCGTGTGTGTAAAAGGTAAATCCAACTGTAATCTCTGATAGTAAAGACGCCATCTTTCATTTATGTGGGCTGATAGTGATGTGAGTCAACCACTGTTTTCTCATCTAATACACACACACACGTATATATATATATATATATATATATATATATATATATATATATATATATATATATATACTTTTAACCACTGGTCGCACACATAAAAACACACACGCACACAAACACGTATATGCCGTAAGAAAGAAATAAAATAAAATGTGTCTGCAGCAGAATTAAAAGAAATTCTCTGAAGGTTATGTAAATATACATTGATATATAGGCAGAATAAAACTCCGGTTTCTGACTGATCAACTATTCATGACTTGCATGAATGCTTATGGCAGTTACTATCAATCCATCGCATTATATATATATATCGAGAGAGAGAGAGAGAGAGAAGGAGGGAGGGAGGGGATATTTATGCACTTGTTTTTAGTAATTTTTCCTTACAGACTCCACAGGCATGAACGGAATGAGACATATATGAAGGTAGATAGATAAATAGACAGATGAGTATGAAGACACTGCAAAATACACATACAGACATACAACAGACTCACATAGATAGATAGATAGATAGATAGAAATGAAGAAAACAGGATAGATAGCTAAATAGAAAGAAACAAACAAGCAAATACACACAATGTGATAGAAAGAAAGAAATGAACACAATAGAATACATAGCTAGATAGAAAGAAAGAAAGAAACAAATAAACATAGATAGATAGATAGATAGATAGATAGATAGATAGATAGATAGAATTTCTGTTTAGATACGTGATACACTTATATATTGATTACTCGCAAAAATGTTTTCTTAAAGATTAGTATCTATTAATTTACTTAAAGATCGCTTTATCTCAATCTATCTATCTATTCGAGAATTTTTAGCTTGTGTTTATT